GTGCTTTTTCTTGTGAAATGCTTATACAACAGCTCTTCTATCATATAGCATGTAACCTTTGGTAAGCCTTCTCTCTCTCTTTTTTTAATAGTTTATTGAAAACTTCATACGTGCTTATAAGGTGTTTGGATCAAATCCATGCCCACTCCCTCCCTCCAATTCTTCCCATATCTCCCCATCACTTTTTTATGATAACTTCATGTACTCTTCTTTCTTTTATTTATTCTTCATTTTATAGGGCTTTTGGCTACTCTAAACCCTCCTCTGAAGTGGTAACCCTAAAATCTTTTAAGGATTAGATACAAGCTCCCAAATACTTTCGACATTTTTGTCCTTTGGAACAGAGTATGTTGCTAAGAGGCCCAAGGACATTGTGAGTTTTAGCCAAGAAACTAGCTACTTTTCTTTGGGGTCTTTTTACCCTAACTGCCTAGTCAATTCCTACCTCCTATTCTTATCACACCATCCTCTGAAGGGGTTACCCAACTTGCTGATAGGGAATTGGGACACAGACTGCTCTTGCTTCTTCCATGCTGAACAGGTACGCAGGGTGAGGCTATTGGAGTACCCCTTCAGTGGGTCTATCTAAAAGACTCCCAAATTGCATAATGCTTATCACCAGGTGGAGGTACAATCCAGGCGCTCTCAGGCAGTCGCCTGTGTTCTCAGCCCCTATGTCAGAGGGAGGCCAGAATCCGGCACTCTCTGGTGGTCTGCTGAGATCACTACACTGATGGAGGTCGGAGCCCACCCTCTCAGGCTGTCTGCTAGACTGTAAGCTTCTCTTTATTCTTATGATACATTATAATGAAAGAAACACATTCTATTTTAGGTTACCTAAGCATCATACTTTCCAACAGCAAACAGAGCTGATTCCAGAATCGTTGTCATATGCTAAAAGTGAATTGTAAAAGACAGCTTCCAAAATTTAACAAAATGTTTGTTTTCCAAAGATTAAACTTATTTAGAAAGTGTTAAACTCATAAGATTTAGAAGGAACTTATAAAACCTATAGTTCTATAACTTGCTTAGGGTTAGAAAACAGAAGAGCTGAGAATTTGCTACCTCTTTTCTTAGCTAAAGTGTTTTCTCAGAATGTAATTTGCTGTTTTAAACACAGAATACTGAGCCTTTTCCTTTCTACCCTCTTGTGCTTATAATAAGAAGCTTCTATAGCCACTGAATTTCAATGAAGTAAGAATCTGCAATGTCCGCTCCAGCATTTGTTGAGTACAAAGTTCTTTGTGATTAATGCAAATATTCTGTATAAAATTCTATAGTGCCACAGAGGGTATAAATTTTGTGTAGAAGTTAAAACCAACTATTATGAGCAAGAACATTGGAATTCAGCATACAGGGCTGGCACAGCTCATTAGGAGACCACACACCATGAGGAATACTGGCATTTCTCCCTCAAACACCACAACTCAGTCATTGCCAAAAGTTGCTAGGGATTGTCCTATATCAACATGTGGCTTGTCTTGGCAGAAGTAGCTCTGCACGTTGTAACAGTCATTTATTAATGATAAACAGAGCAATGAGAAGTCAAAGCATCTTTCTGCAAACCACAGCTCTTTAACTTTTAAATATATTTTCATTGATTTGAGAATTTCATGCAGCTTATTTTGACCATATTTAGCTCTCCTCCCACCTTACTATCTCCCCTGACTTCATATCCTCTACTACTGTTTGTCATAAAACCAACACTGTAATTGCTACATGAGATATATTACTTATTAGAACTTTAATCTCATTTTATAGTTTGTGTTATTTAGAAATTGTGACATACATGGTAGGAATTTCTCATGACATGTAAAGAGTACCTAGAACAAAATATTATTAGAAGCACACTTTATGAGAATACAGATTAGTACAAATTATGCAGGTGCTTGCCCAAAGAAGATTCTATTAGCATAATAGCATTTGTTTTCTTAACTTATTTTAGTTCTATTATGCTTGGCTTATAATTTCAATTTATCATAATATCTCTTAAAGGTAAACTAATAAAATAATATTGTCCATTGTAGAGATGGAAGCATCTAAATCTTAAAGTGACTAATTCAAGATATTATTGATAGAAAATGGAAGATGGCTTACAGTCATATCCCCCCACATATACTCATTCACCTCTGATCTCTGAAGCTAAACAGGGACAAGCCTGGTTAGTACTTAGACGGGAAAATGGAAAACACGAGGGTAGAACTGGACTCTTAAGGCTTCTTATTTCCACAGTTTTGTTTTATTACAGTGTTAGGCAATATTCACTTACGGAAGTGTGTTTTTTAAGACAAAATATTTAGCTATATTTAGAAAAATGATTAGAGACATCCTAGTGTGGAATATTGTGTGTGGAATATCTTTTGTGGAGTGGATCTGCGAGTGCAAGTGTGTGTGGAAGCGAAAGGCCAATGTTAGGTGCGTTCCTCAATTGAATATACAGCCTTTTTAAAAAAAAAATTTTTTTTTGAGACAGGGTGACTCACTGAACCTAGACCTCCCTGATTCTGCTAGACCTGCTGGTCAGCAATTCTCAGGGATCCTTGTGTCTCCAGGTCCCCCTGTTGGGATTACAGGAGGCACATAAAGCTGTGCTGCTTTCTAACTGGATGCTGGACATCTGCATTTGAACTGTTTGCCATGTTGTGAAACAAGCCCGCCTGGTCTAAATAGTGAGTTCCAGGCCAGCTGGGGCTACAGGGAAAAAAAAAAAAAAAAAAAAAAAAAAAAAAAAAAACCACAAAAAACCTTATATGACAAATTTAAAATACAAAAGAAATTTAGTCAAATGAGCATTAATAAATAATATATGTAAAATTAATTTCTAAGACCAATCTCCAAATGCTGTTTTCTATTTATCCTTCAAAACATGCTTTGAGCTCACTCTATTCCTTCTCATTTTGGTTTCCAGAGAAGACCATTTAAAAAAATAATCTTGTGGGGCTGGAGAAATGGCTCAGCGGTTAAGAGCACTGGCTGCTCTTGCAGAGGACCTGGGTTTGATTCCTAGCACCTACATGGCAGCTACTAACTGTCCTTAACTCCAGTTCCAGGGAAATCCAAAGCATTCTTCTGACCTCCGTGGCATTGCACAATGTGGGTACACTCACATACATGCAAGCAATACACTCACCATGAGGAATACTGGCATTTCTCCCTCAAACACCACAACTCAGTCATTGCCAAAAGTTGCTAGGGATTGTCCTATATCAACATGTGGCTTGTCTTGGCAGAAGTAGCTCTGCAAGTTGTAACAGTCATTTATTAATGATAGAGCAATGAGAAGTCAAAGCATCTTTCTGCAAACCGCAGCTCTTTAACACATAAAATTTAAAAAAATAAAAAAAATATTTTTAAAAAATCCTGCAAACCCAAGTACTTTTCCCCTCTGAGTAATGAGAATGATCCTTAGGTGGAGTTTTCTTTCTCATCCGTGGTGAAAAAAATGTAGAAGGTAAGAACTTCTGTCTAGTCTAAAGCATAGAGGAAATAAATTCACGTAGAAGCTATGTTTCTATATAAATAAGCAATTTAACATGAAATATTTTAAGATCAGAATTTGTTTAATATTAATGGTCTATGTCCACATTACACACAGCATGCTATAAATACCAGGCACCTCTGAACTCAGTGTATTTTGAAAGTAGATTTAAGTCTGAGTTTTTGCTTTGTTTCTGTGGCATAAAGATCAGTATACAAGCAGTAGAGAGTCTACCCACATATTTGCAGCTAAGCTTCACAGTGCCGATAGATTAAGAAGTATAAACTATAAACATGTCTAGTGCCAAGTGAATATAAACTTCCTTGGACCCTTAAATATCATTAAAAAATAAAAATGTCTAAATGTAAATTATTTTACAATTTAGCTTTTTTACTAAATTTAATTCTAATTAGCTTAATCATCTTTTCAAACATATAAACTATATAGCTCACTTAGAAAAGTATGGATTTCATTTACTAGAAAAATTGCTAGCAAATTTTGGGTAACAAAATGAAATGTTTGCTAGAAAAACCATGAACTATTACATTTAATTCCACTTTCATATTATATACTTAATTGATAAAAGAACATATTTCAAATAAGCACAATTATTATGTTTTCAAGTTTTATCAGTATTCATTAAGACCAAATTATCTCTGAACTGCTTTTGTAAGTTGTGTTGACAGGGATGACTCAAGGACATATGACTGCCTCAAACTGACTTGAATGAAATGCATCTTATATTTTCATGTGGAAGAAACAAGAACTAAATTCAGTATCTCTGGATTCTAGTTATTAAACATTTTGGCAAAGTACTTTACTTTCGAACATGTTCACCAAAGTTGAATTTAGATTTGTTAATGAAACCTCTTCAAGGTGACAAGCACGCATAAAAGGGGGGAAAATTGCTTGATTCAATAAGATGAAAATAAACTGTCATGTGCAAAGATTCAATGGAAAAAAAACTATTTTCTTCTCTTATTGATGGGGAAGAAATAAAAAACATTTAAGAGTTGAATTATTTCTTCAAATCCTTTAAGCTTCTTTCAGAACAAAAATATAAGGAAGTAAGTGCATGACAGGACCTTAGTGAGGCCAGCCTCCTCTAAAAAGTGAAAAATTCTACAATCTACCAAGCAATGATGTGCTTTGTTTAGTGATATTCAACACCGTATCATTTTCCCCATGGCACACATCTACTGTCTTCATTTCCTTTGAGCTTGGAGCCTTTTGTAACCAATTTTTAGATGATAGCCTCTAATTACCCAGAGTGGCACACAAAGCTGAGAACACTATTCTAAACGATGAGTTCACATCAAAGCAAACATCGCCATTTTCATTGAGAAGGTCCTCATGGGGAGAATAGACTCAAAATGGGATGACTGTTAACAGATCTATGCCTCCAGCCCACAATAATTTTATCACTTATGGACCTCGGCCACGCTATCCTCTGTAGTTAAAAATCAACGTTCCAATGTTTTCATTTGTTGTATTTCATTTTGATCAGTGAAGATGCAAAAATAGCCATACCTGGCATGGGAGATGCTGTGATCACCGTGTGGTTTTCTCAGGTGAGGCTTGTCCATTGCACTCTGGCTCACTGATGCCTGTGATTTCCTCAAATGCAGGAACCTTGACTATATAATTTTTTGGAGTTCAGGGTGGGGGGTTGTGTGTATACTCTCCACTAGAGGAAAAAAAGGTAAAGACCTGGATATTTTAATGCAAGTTGACGTTAGTCCCATAGCCAACACTTAGCATTAATTAACCCATACAACTGACAAGTTCTCATCTTTGATCACAACCATATTCATTAATTCATTGAGCAAATATTTATTTTGGATTTACTCTTTCCCAAAATCATTTATAATTATTTTTTTGCATCAATGTAAATGCAAATTACTCACTATGGAGTTTATGTCCCAGCATGGTGAATTGCTCAATGCTGTATCAACTGCAACCACATATTCTCTCTGTAGCCTTCATCTTCCATACCCACTTGCTAACCATTCTAAAGGAGAGAGAGGCTACTTTAAGAACGCATGTGCTTACTTAATGTCTTATACTTCAAGTCATGCTAATTTCTGTCTTCTCCAAAACTGTATTTGCTATCCTGTGTTGAATTTAAAATATGAAAGCAGTAAAAAAAAAAGTTCCTTCCTTGTGTGTTCCAGGCTTAAATGTCTAGACATCCCCTATAATCTCCCACAGTCTTCATAATAATGCTAGATGATAATTCAGAGTAAAAAAGTTAAAAATTGTTCCAATTCATCCTGCTATGCCACTAAAAATGCATCTCACAACTTCTATTGAAAAGTTGATACTGATATTTATCTTTTCCAAGTCATTTTCCTCTCTAGAGCTTCTGTTCCAAATAGTTTCTCTTTACCTCAAATCTAGTATTGATGCCATCTGTTTTCCGTCTCCTGGTTATTTCAGTTGTAATATTGAAGCCATAAGCTAAGAAGACTTTCCAACCTAAATAATACACATCTCTGAGTAAAGCCTCATCTCTTCTTTACTGGTTAATGTGGAATGGGTATCCCCCTGCCCCTACTTCAGCCCACTTTTCTCACTAACTTCTGGAATCCTCCTCTCCTTCTCGGTCATTCTTTCCTATATTTTCAATTATTCCCCGCCAATCCTTTCCATATACAAACTCGTCTCTCCACATCATTGAAACAGTTACTACCCTGCCTTCTTGTCCTCACATTAAAGATCCTTACTCTCCCTTTTGGGACATTTGCAATCTACCCCTTGATGAGTCGAACCGCAGTACTCTGGCCATTAGTGACCTGCCTGCCAGGAAATGCAGGTTTCATTCTCTTTTCTACTAATACCTAATACTTTTTGCTAACAATCTCCTCTTTTTAAAACATTCTCATGTCTTAGTCCCCAAGTGCCTGTGCGTATTTGGTTTTAATCTTAAAAATCTGTCCCGTTCTTCGCTCTCTGCTTTGCGGTGTCCCTATACTATAGCACCTTAGTGGTGGTGACCTTCAGGTTTGCTTCTTACTTCACTACCTTTGTTGGTATCTTTAACATCACTATACCTTTGACAAAATGTCAAATTATAAAGATCATCAAATTTTTTGTAAAAACTTCTAAATTCCAACCATGCCTCCATAAGGGACAATATTTCAATCTTTTCTCTTTCCTTTTGCTCTACACTGATGCTAAGTGCATTTTGTGAAATCTTGGTCTAATTTTGTCTTTATCTTGGCTAAATTTTTTATGAGTTTTAATTACAAGTGGGACAAAATTCAAATACCACGATATGGATTTGAAAAGCAAAAATTAGAATGGATATGTTAAGACACTCCAAATCCTAAAGAAAGTCTCCTTCCCTGTCATTCTAAGACAAACATATCTACTGGCCCCATTAGCAAACAGTGTTATAAATTAACTTGCTATTAATTAAATGCACATTGAAGCAATTTAAACCTATCTTATATCTTTCTCAAAGATGTTTTACACCATCTCTATTATCGCTTGGAAGGAGTGTTCTTTTTGAACAGAGTCCTTCCAGTGTTCTTGACATCACATTACTTTCCTCATTGCTTGAGAAATGGAGATGAGAGCACCTTCTGACTCCCTTGGGTGAAATTACACCAATATAGGCCTGTAATTCCAATATCCAAAAGGTTTTTAAGTCATAAATGCTGTAGTACATTTGGGCTAAGTTATGCCAATGAAATTTATTCTGATTTGACATTAAGCTCTTTCTGGTCTTTATTTCTCCCACCTAGTATGAATACCTCCATGATTCAGTGCATAAATATTAATGTACTTGATAATGGGGTGCTGACCCAGGCCCTGGGGTATAACTTACATACATGAAATTTGCACAGTATTAACTTTCTAAATATGCAAACATAGAAATCTAAAAGCTATTTTCTTTGAGGTAATGAGAATAGGAATTCTGAAATTGAACTAACCTTAAGTCAGTTCATGTCTGTCAAGCAACAGGTCCTTTCATGGCTATGAGTCTACCCAAAGAATGCATTTGAAAGAAATTTTATTTTTACAGAATAAATTGATGTACATACTTTTCAGAATAGTTATTTTAGATAGTTGAGCTGATTTTGATGCCTAAAAGTATCTAACACTTTCCTACAATGTCAGCCTGGCAAATGTGACTCAGAGAATTAATGACAGACTCACTGTTTTAGTGAAGAAAATCCTTATAAGTCCTAACACCTTATAAACCCTGCATTGGTTAATTCAGGTGATTCTGTGCAATGCTTTTTCACTTCTACTCAGTTACCCTTAATCAACTGTTTGGCAGCCCAGAAATTTCAGGCTGAGGAGGTAAACTGAACCTTGCTGGGCATATTTTCTTGATGCCCAGCTGGAATAACAAAGCCTTTTGAAAAGTTCACCAGGCCTCTCTGTGTGTGGTCCCTCAGGCATCAACAGATCCGCCTTCACTCACAGTTGCTGCATTTCACTCTTTACAGATACAGTTGTATATTTTGGCTCCACTGGACCCAATGCAAGCTTTATTCTACCCTGACACTTACACAGCAATTAGAAATTCTCAGGGTGAGTCCATCTAGTTCCCTGTCACCCCTGCCAGGATTAACCTCAGTTTGCATTGGCTTGTACTCAAGGGCCTTCAAAATACAATCATCTATATGAGATGCCCATAGTGATTAACAAAGCTCTCCAGTTTAATAAAATAATCCTTAGCAACCAAAGATCCATGAGCAATTTATACATATTGGTAAAAAGAACCCTTGTCCATTCCTCAGAAGTTTTTTTTTAATTATCCAGTAGTCAGGGATTTTGGCTATTAGAGCTTTATTGTGTTTGTTTTAAACATAAGAAAGGAAGGTAAAGCATGCATAACCAGCTGTGATTTATGGTTATGCCCTTATAAAAGACATTTTTATGCTATAAACTTTAAGTGACTTCTTTAAATGTAAATTAGCATTCCTTTTAAAGGAAATAAAACTATCGAATTATACAATTCTCTTATTTCTTTAATTTTTAAAATGAAGATATTAAAAAAAATACTTGACTCTTATCTACAGAGCCTAGACTTGATGTTTCTGTTGTCTACATAGTTCCCTGTGGCCCCTCCAGAGGCTTATTAATTATAATGATTTATAACATATAGCAATGAATGTTTAATGTTATTATTAAAGTAATGTTAACTGGTGTTTCAGAGGGTTTTTAAGTAGTTATTTTGCTTCATAAAAGAATTCAAATCCTAAAAAAAAATCTATGCCTATTAATTAATACCTCCCACTTTCACTTTCATGGTCAATTTTATATCAGTGGGAAATACAAGGTAAATATCAGTAATTTAGAAAGTTCAAGATATTTAGAATTTCTATTTAATGAAATGATCTCTGTTGTGATTGACATTTAATGCCTCGGCTCAAAGGTATTATTTTTTGCACACACCTCATACTTTTCCTTTGAATATATATATATATAATTTTTAATTTTTGTGTATTTCATATATAACATCTTATTTTTATATCACCTTCTCCCACTGGCACCCTCCCATAGCCATCCCTCCCCCACTGAATTTCATGCATTCTGTCATTCATATTAAGAACTATCTGATTGAGTTTGCATAGGTCTTGTCAGTCACCACTCATCAAAGAAGCTTCTTTTGCAATAGACGGAGAATATTACAGAGTTCCACAACTGGTCACACACAAAGATTAAGTGTCTGTCAAATGCCTTTGAAATTTTAAGAGACCTAAGCTAAAATAAATTTTTAAATAAAATCTTGATAAATTTGGCTCTAAAAGAGAAATGAACATGTAATCAAATCCAGTGACATAATAAAAATTATGTAAGATATACAGTTAAATATGTTGAAATCAGAATCAATTTTTCTATGATGGTGATCTGAAGAAGCGTTAATTGAAGAAGCTCTAACCAATGAGACTAAATGGCAGAATCAAATCAACATGACATCTTCCGTGTGTTTGCTCATAATCAGTCAACATCTTAGAAGCCATAATGTGAAGATGGTGGAATCTTGGCAAAGTAGTTTACAAGACAGTGAAATTATATAATTACTACAGGTAAATTTATGCTCATTAAGAAAGTATCATGTCTCAGGAGGGTAGGGCCGTAGGGAAGGGTATTATTAAGGGATAAAGGGGGAAAATCGGGGAACCTTAATTGGGATTGGGGAAACCATGATGGAAGGGTTAGATGATGTGAGAGATAAATAATGCCTAGCTGGTTTTAAAAACCAAAGGGAAACATATTAGTCCAAACCTACTGACAAATTATACATGCCAGATCAATAAATATATGTCTAGGTAAGGTTTATCTGAGAACAATTAGTTTTTGCCCAAGATTTATCTACATGGCACACAGAAATTAAAAGTACCAAACTGGTGGAACTAACTTTCTTGGATGTTTAACAGACATACTTTGAGGCCTATACTAATTTGGTCAGAGGGACCTAAAGGACAGTTTTTGCTCCTTGCCCTCCTAGGTTGACTAGTTCCAGGGGACTATGAGCATCTCTCAAAATGTCCTGTAATTGTGCTGGGTCACCTGTCCTCTTGATCAAGGAGGCCGAGGAGACCCCACCAGATGGGCATGAACCAGTGTCCAGTCTACAAAGAGGAGGGTCAACACAGAGGAAACATTTCATTCATGCTTCCAAGTAAAGCCAGCCATGGTCGAGCAGAACCTGTGACATATTTTCACA